CTAATGAGGCTGAGTTCACCTGAAACTCAGACTGAAGAGGTCTCTTGGAGGAGAGACGTAACGTTTCACTAAGGCAGAACCCATGCAGAGGACCTACTGATTTTTGTTTTTGATACTGTAGTAAATATACTGGGCCTGTAGGTGGCACTGTGACGCTGTAAACACACCAGAAACAGGAAACAAGGAGCAAAGGCTGCCCACTGGGAACACAAGAAGAAGTGACCTTTGAGAGTTTTTCTCTCTTTAATGAACTCAAACAAACTGAGGAGTATTTTCCTTTAACTCTTCTGGAGTTTTTCATGTAATGTTTTTACAAAGATCTAAAGACATTCTGAGTCCTTCAGTCCCTGTCAGGTAAAGACTTCCTGATAAACCAGCCCACTGTTGGGGGCAGGAGCCCTCAGCGCTGTCTAGAGATGATCCTGACATCTGATCAGTTCAGAACAAACTGGGAGCTGATTGCTTCGGTTCAGAAGAACAGAAGCTGTCTGTCAGAGTCCAGATGTCCTCCAACATCTCTGCTTTCATTTCCACACGATTTAGATGAAGAGGAGTAAAAAACGAGCTAAAAGCTTTTGGATCTTAGATTTTCTACTGGATCTTTGTAAAACGGATGTAGCTGAAGTTCTGAAAGCTTCACTTCTCTTCATGCATGAAGCTGAGCTCTGACTGTTCCAGGACCAGAGGCCTGAAAGGCAAACACGGAGTCAGTCTGTGGAGACTTCAGCCACGCTGTCACAACAAAAGAAGTTTAATGATTAGTTCATGTCAGACAAGACCACGCTGTGCAAACTGGAACATGTGGAAGACTCTCTGATGGTTCCAGTAAGAACAACAGAACCCTCAGAAGAGGCTTTGGACCGGTTTTATCTCACTGTTTACCCCTCCGGCCTGCTGGTTCTCTTCTTTCTCTGAGCCTTGGGCCTGTTGGAAAGCAGCTGTTGGAGAAGATGTGAAATAAAACAGCAGCAGCAGCTCCTCTGAGTCAGTTCAGAACCAGGAAACCAGAACAACACTTCCAGCTTTCATGTTTACTGTACAGTTTACAGCATTTCAAAGCAAACTGCAACAAACTCCCTCTCCTGTAAACGGATCGGACCGGGCCGGTCCTGCTCAGAACATCTGGCTTTAACGTCTAAATATGGGACAGGAGCTTGTCTCTGCCGTCTGAACAGCTGGATTTATCTGTGATCAAACATCCTGTTCATCCATTCCTCCAACATTAAACAGCTCTGAATGTCAGCCTCGTCTTTTACCTGTGCTCACTACATTCACCAGGAGTCAGAACCAGAACCAGTCCAGTCATCTGGAACATGCTGAAGAAGAGAGGAACCACCGGACCTCAGTGCCTGACAGCAGACAGGAAGACCAAGGACAGCTGCAGCTGCAGACAGAAACATCATGAGATGTTTGTGACATCAGAAGCAGGAGTGCAGGTCCAACATCTGCTGTCCACAGCTGAAGGACAGAGGCTACAGCACAAGGTCCAAACCTGTCCCAGGCAGGACCAAAAGGAGGGACAGCTCAGAGACAAAGCTCGTGAGTCGTCTGGACTGACGAGACAAAGGTGGACATGTGARGCAGTGATGGAAGGACTAAAGCAGGTGGTAACATCTACACAAACATCTTCTGACAGTTTAAAGAAACATGAAGCACACTGCTACAATAACCAGTGTTCATCCATTCTACACTGGACCCACCCATCTTCAGGCTGAACCCCTACAGGAAGACACTGAGCCTCCAAAACCCCCATCTGAAACCCTGGACCCAACACAGAACTGGTCCTGCTCATCAGGTTTAAACAGGAACATCAGCATCACTTTATAACACGAGAAAAAACAGCTGTGACTTCTGCTGCTGGGATCCTGACAGACTTCATGAGTTAAACATCACGAGTTAAACATCGTGAGTTAAACTTCATGAGTTAAACATCACGAGTTAAACCTCGTGAGTTAAACTTCATGAGTTAAACATCACGAGTTGAACATCGTGAGGTAAACATCGTGAGGTAAACTTCATGAATTAAACGTCACGGGTTAAACGTCGTGAGTTAAACGTCGTGAGTTAAACATCATGAGTTAAATGTCATGAGTTAAACGTCGTGAGTTAAACGTCATGAGTTAAACATCGTGAGTTAAACATCGTGAGTTAAACTTCATGAATTAAACGTCGTGAGTTAAACGACGTGAGTTAAACGTCGTGAGTTAAACGTCGTGAGTTAAACGTCATGAGTTAAACGTCGTGAGTTAAACGTCGTGAATTAAATGTCATGAGTTAAATGTCATGAGTTAAACGTCATGAGTTAAACGTCACGAGTTAAACGTCGTGAGTTAAACGTCGTGAGTTAAACATCATGAGTTAAATGTCATGAGTTAAACGTCGTGAGTTAAACATCGTGAGTTAAACGTCGTGAGTTAAACATCATGAGTTAAACGTCGTGAGTTAAACATCATGAGTTAAACGTCATGAGTTAAACGTCGTGAGTTAAACATCATGAGTTAAACGTCATGAGTTAAATGTCATGAGTTAAAGGTCGTGAGTTAAACTTCATGAATTAAACGTCACGAGTTAAACGTCACGAGTTAAAAGTAATGAGCTAAACGTAATGAGTTAAATGATTTTTCACCAACATGTGTGTAACAGACCCCCCACTGCTGCTGGAGCAGGAGTTTCTGCCTGATAAGCATTTAGCTGCCCTGCTGCTGCTGCAGTAAAGACTCCAGACAGCAGTCTGACTGTAATTAACAGACAGTAAAACCCACAGCTGATGCAGGAGGAGGTTACCACCTGAGATCAAAGACTAACTGGTCCTCAACAGGCTGAAACCACTGATTTACTGACAGTCTGATCCAGACCCACAGTCCTGACAGCACCGCTTTTAGGCTGGAAACTTTAGACAGGAATTACACTGTTTTCTACTTCCCAAACAAAGACTTTTAGTTTCCACAAAAGCACAGACAGCCACAATAAAACATGAAGTACCTTCTGAAATACTCTGAATGTCAAGAATTAATCTATTTCCCCAAAACAAGAATTAAGCTACATTTTTTATTCTTTCATACAGGTAGCAAACTTCTGATTTGCTATCAGTTTTTAGAATGACCC